CAGGGATCAGGCCTAAACTCGATGGTCGGACATCCCCCAAGGGGTCCCCGATTGGAGAGGGTGCAGGCTGGGCTGCACTGGGCCTCTAGTTATGTATAACAGGATATTGTAAAAATTAAGTTACAAAATTTTTATTAAAACGTTTCTTACATACCATTATATTGGCTGGGCCACAAAAATATTCATTGTGGGCCACATGTGGCCCGCGGCCCACGAGTTTGACATGCTTGCCTTAACTGTTCAATGGTGTTCTTATCACTAGGCAGTGACCACTAGATGGCACTAGATGAATCCTTTGAAATCTGTTCATGAAACTGAGAAAACTTACTTCCTCCAGTACAGATGTGCAACAAAATCTTCACAGAAGTCATCCCTTTCTGTGTGTTAGGCACACGGGTGTTTTCTGTTTTACTGTATTCTACTTCATTTTTTAAATGCAGGTTTTCAGATTATTCCGTTGATTTCATGATATTTTGTGAAATCCTCTTTGGACCACTGAGCGAGTTTACTCTTGTAATACTCTGTTTTCCTCGGAGAGTCCAGGCTTGTAGCAAGTGGTGTTCTTAGCGAGCTCTTTGTTTCTCTGTTGAGCGGCTGTACTGAGTAGCTGAACACAGGTACTTCCTTATAAGTGTCTGTGGTTGTGTAAACATAAGTGTAAGATACTGTGGGGGAGTCTTTTGTCAGAATCAGCACCTGTTGCGGTCAGGGCTGCAATAAACCTTGTTGGTAGGTATAAAGAAAAGAAAAGTGACAGTATCTACTTTTGGGAGCTCAGAACCTACCTGGGAGACACGCACATCCACACCCCTTAAATTTCAGCCTCCTTATCAGGCAACACGGAATTGATTGCATCCCTCGGGTATTAGGTGGGATGCTTTAGGCTGAAAGGAACAGAAGCCTGGCTCGGGTTGGCTCAGATGGTGAAGAAATTATCTCACTAAATGTCCGCGGGGAGGTAGATAGAGCAGGCTCCAGGCCCACTGTGGTGTGGCATGGCCTTGGGGACCCAGGTTCCTGCCGTGACTCATCGGTGGTCCTAGGCTGGTGCCACTCGTGGTCGCCGGAAGATTCCCAGTGTAATCCGGCTTCAGCTCCCAGACTCGGAACAGTAGAACTTTACCTGAGTAGGTGTAGCCTGGGGTAGAGAGGTGAGGACACCAGGGCATTGTGCAAGTTGTAGTTGCTTTGTTTCTTCCCGGTCTCCCCACTGTGACCACCTTAAGGGATGTGAAATGACCGGCACAAACTGCAGAGTCAGGAGGAAATGTAGGCCGCTGTTTGTGATGTTTGCCGAATATTTCTGAATTTCCTTTCTCTTGACATAGAACTTAGTAATCTGATAAAAGCTTCGACCAGTGAGTTTGCGGAGTGAATAAATCGTTGTGGCGGTGGGGTGAAGTTATTTGCTGTTTAGGGCTCTGGGGAAGGAATTAGCCATAAGAGGAAAGACGGAGGTGAGAAATGGCCGCTGTCGGGGACGTGGTGGGAAGTGTGTGTGAATATAAGGGGTGTGAGTCTGTCTGCTCAGGTGTGTAATGGAACCCTGCCTGGGCAGTCAGTGGCCTTTGAGGCCGATGACTTTCTTCTGGATCCTTGACCTGGCCCCTGGGAATGGGGCTATGAACCTTGGCCGAACACAGACGAACACAGATCTCTGCTCACATGCCTTCTCTTTCATTCCTCTCAGGTTTGCAGTGAGCGTTGGCTACTGGGATGACCCTTACCTCCAGCACCTTGTGAGGCTGAGCAAAGAGAGGAAGGCCCCTGAAATTAACAGAGGCAAGTGGCCCCTTTTCTCCCTGGCATCTTCTCATCAGCTGAGTGGTCTGAAGTTTCAGGGATCCCTTAACTGGAATCGAACCCGGGACCCCTCAGTCCGCAAGCCAACGCTCTATCCACTGAGCCAAACCAGTTTCGGCTTCAGGGATTCATTAAAAAAACAAAAACATATATATATGTGTGTGTGTGTGTGTGTGTGTGTGTGTGTATAATTTGTATTGATTTCAGAGAGGAAGGGAGAGGGAGAGAGAGAAAGAAACATTAGTGGTGAGAGAGAATCACCAATCAGCTGCCTCCTGCACACCCCACACTGGGGATGTGATGGGAACCTGCAACCAGGGCATGTGCACTGACCAGGAATTGAACCCATGACCTTCTGAACCCATGATCTTCTGATTCGTAGGTCGACGCTCAACCACTGAGCCACGCCTGGTGGGAGAGGGATTCATTCTTAAACAGAGAGTTCCAAGATGCACTCTCTCCAGGAGTATATGAAAGTGCTCATTTCCTAACATCATCACCAACAAGCGTATTACAAAACTTCTTATTTAGAAAAAATTTCTATTTTTATTTTTAAAAATACTTTTATTATGGAAAGTTTCAAACTGTGCAAAAGTGGAATTACATGTGGATCAATTTTAGTAATTATCAAATCTTGGCCATCAGTGTGAAGTTTTTTTAAAAATATATTTTTATTGATTTCAGGGAGGAAGGGAGAGGGAGAGAGAGATAGAAACATCAATGATGAGAGAGAATCATTAATAGTTGCCTCTGCATGCTCCCTACTGGGGATCAAACCCAAAACCTGGGCATATGCCCTTGACCAGAATCGAACCCGGGATCCTTCAGTCCGCAGACTGACTATCCATTGAGCCAAACCGGCTAGGGCTCAGTGTCCAATTTTTAATCTTTGTTAATCTGATATTGAGAAATGCTATCATAGAGTAGTTTTAGTTTTATTCTTTTTACTTAAGGATAAGGTTGAAGATCGTATGTTGAAAAGCCATCTATGTATCTTTTACTGTGAAGTGCCTGTTCACATAAGGGACTACTTTTTGCCGCCTTACTGAATGGGTGGTGACACCATCAGGAAGTCAAAGGATTTGACTGAGAAGTTGACCCCGTGACAGTCGCTCCTGTGTGAGCAGGGAGTCTTGACCCTGAAGATCCTAGAGCAGGGGTGGGCAAACTTTTTGACTCGAGGGCCACAATAGGTTCTTAAACTGGACCGGAGGGCCGGAACAAAAGCATGGATGGAGTGTTTGTGTGAACTAATATAAATTCAAAGTAAACATCATTACATAAAAGGGTACGGTCTTTTTTTTTTTTTTTAGTTTTATTCATTTCAAATGGGCTGGATCGGGCCATCGTTTTGCCCACGGCTCTAGAGGGAGGGCCTATAAGAAATGCAGACATTTTAAAATGGGCGTTTCTGAGAATAAGGACTTGGAGTTTGCTTTGAACAGAGGGCGAGCTTGTGGGGAGCCTGGCCCAGTGGGCTCCGCCCCCTCCCTCCAGCTCTCTGGGCAGGCTTCCTGTGAGTGTCCCAGAGGCAAGGACCTGCAGGCTGATGGGCACCAGGTCAGCCTCCTCCCTCCCTTCCTCTCTCTCGGGTTTGAATGTCTCTTTGGGGACCAGCAGCCCACGGGGAGAGTGCTTCCCACTGTGCAGGAAGGCTCTGTGTGTTTCCAGTGTCCAAGCCGACTGGCTTCTCTGTGGCCGTGAAAAAGCTCAAGAGGCCAAATTCCTAGAGGTCATTTTCAAGAGGAACATTGAGACCAGATATTTTGATGTAAAACCCTGTTCTTCCTGAAGTAAAATGATAGGACACTTTATTTCTCTTAGGACAGATAGTTAATCCCACCCTTACATAGGTTGTGCTCAGTTTGGGTCAGACGGCTTTAAGAACAAGGGGGGCGGGGGGCCTGGAAGTTGCCCTGTCTCAGGTGAAGTCTGCAGCCCCTGCCGACCCCGCAGGAGGCGGGCGGGGAGTTCCGTGCTCTTCGCTCTTTGGGGGGCTTTGCAAGGCCACTGCTGTCGGCACTGAGGGCCGCCTGTTCCTCTGTCTCTTCCTTAGGATATTTTGCTCGAGTCCATGGCATCAGTGAGCTGATAAAGGCATTCCTCCGGAAGACAGAGTGTCACTGTCAGATTTTAAACCTTGGGGCTGGGATGGACACCACCTTCTGGATATTAAAGGTGAGTCAAAATTCCCCTTCCTCTTTTCCCAGTTGTTTGCACTTAATTTTGAAGATGTTCACCTGGTTCTAAAATTTTAAAATATATTAAAATGGATGCAGTGACAGCCCGTCTACACCCCCATCCCCAGCCCTTCCATGCCCCCAGCCACCACCAGCCCCGCTTCATCGCACCAGGTCCCCGTGAAGGACGTGTGGGTTGTGTCTCACCTTTTGCTGTTGCAAGCAGGGTGTTAATGAAAACTTGTGTGCGTTTTTCTCTGCCTGTGGAAACATATCAGAGAAAACATTCTGCTAGTGGAATTGCCGAGACAGAGAGCACGTGTACTGGTGATTTTGACACTGAGATTTTATTGTGGGCACAACAGTGTCTGTCACATTTGGAGCCTTGCACAGCTGGGTGTTGGAAATGTGACGCAGAGCTTTTTGGAGCCATTCTTTGATTTGATCCCTTAACTGCCCTGTGAGGGGCCAGGAGCAGGTGCACTCACACAGGAAAGGGAACTCGGGTCTAGTTAGTGGCAGGACCAGGACTGCAATGTTGGTCTTTGATTCCTGGGCTGGAATTTTACCCCAAGCCCTTTCCCTTTTTTTTACAAAGACCTCACTGGCTTCATTCACTTTTTTTTAGGTTTGTATAGATTTTTCTTGGTTCTTCTCTGAGATGTCACGAGGGTACCTGCATCCCCCCAGATTTCTTGCAGACGGACACAAAGATAGAGTGTGTGGTGTTACCAGCCTGCATGTCGGCCCCAGAGCAGCTCCCTTGCAAGGTCTGTCGTCTTGGAGCTCCCAGCCTTTCTTTCCTAGAGAAGAACTCAGCGGCCTCCACTTGGTCTTAGGATTGAGTGCTTGCCCGCAGTCTCCATTCAGATAAGCATGCCTCCCATTGGTGAAGCGCTTTTACAGACAGGACTTCATGAGTTTCCATGAGAGCCCCGTGAGGCAGTGTACACAGCCGGGGTCGCAAGAGCTGTGTCTTCTCCAGATGGCCAGCCCGTGGCCTGGGAATGTGGGGCAGCTCAACCTCCGGAGTCCTTGTTCGCTCTGTGTGCAGCCCCGCGCTTGTATGGAGGCGTCTTTTCTGTGGGTCGACTGTGCCTCTAACACAGTGACCCTAACGTGCTGCGAGGCACTGGACAGAGTGCAGTGGAGAGAGTGCGGTTTGGACAGGGGCCTCTAACACAGGGACCCTAACGTGGTGCGAGCACTGGACAGAGTGCAGTGGAGAGAGTGCAGTGTGGACAGGGGCCTCTAACACAGGGACCCTAACGTGGTGCGAGCACTGGACAGAGTGCAGTGGGGAGAGCGCGTGTGGACAGGGGCCTCTGGAGAATCCCTCCTTGGCCTGACACGGGACGTGGGGTGTGGTTTCTTGTGGTGGTACTTTTCCTGTCTTGCAGGTGGGTGAATAATAAATAAACCCGAGGTTGTGTTTCTGAGCGAGCACACCGAGGCTCCTGTGCTCCTCCCGGAACGAGGTTGTCCGTCAGCGGTGAGGAAGGAGAATAGCACAGCGTCTGAACGTCCTCTGTCGAGGTGTTTTTGTTGCTCTAAGGAGTTTTTTAAAAATGGAAAGTTCCTCTTTTTGCCAAGAACAGAATTGTGCTGCAAGAAGCCAGATCTCTGGACTTTCACAATGCATAAATGGGTGGGAAAGTGGAAAAATAACTTTTTTTTTTCCCAGAAGGGCAATACATAAAGAGGGCTGGAAGCCAAGGCCTGTGATCCAGCCTCACTCCCAGCAGCTGGGAATAACCCCTTCATGCTGAAGAATCGGGATGCTGCATTGTACATGCAGGACTCAAAGGGGCTTCAGATTTCTTAAGAACACAACTGAAATATAGAACAGCAAGGAAGATAAGCCTTTACATGTCTGAGAGATATGCTTTAATAGGAATAAAAAGGCCCTTGCCGGTTTGGCACAGTGGATAGAGCATTGGCCTGTGGACTGGAGTCCTGGGTTCGATTCCGGTCAAGGGCATGTACCTCAGTTGCAGACTCGATCCCTGGCCCCTGGTTGGGGGGCATGCAGGAGGCAAACAATTGACATGTCTCTTTCATCATTAATGTTTCTGTCTCTCCCTCTCCCTTCCTCTCTGAAATCAATAAAAATATATTTTAAAAAAAGATTTGAATCTTAAAAAAAAGAAAGTTGCAGCCTCACTTGCCACAGCCATGAGAGCGAGAGAGATGGTGTCTGTTTTGTGAGCGCGCTAGGCGTGTGTGTTAGACGCTTCCTTCCGCAGCGACCTCTATTCAGGATCTTACCAGATCACGTGAGCGAGTGCGTGGGCAGCTCTTCAAAAAGGAACAGGTCCTGCCCTTGCCAGTTTGGCTCAGTGGATGTGTCTCTCTCACATCCATGTTTCTCTCTCTCTCACCCGCCTCCCTCCCTCCCACCATCTCTAAAAATCAATGGAAAAATATCCTTGGGTGAGGATTAACAAAAAAAAGAAAAGAAATAAAAAGAAACAAGTCCTGTAGAAAATGAACTCTGGGCCACCTTCATGCATATCCTCTCTCTCTCTTTTTTAAAAGGGCAAACTTTCAGCAACTTTATGAACTGCCTCTTAAAAGCCTGTGTTGCTGTTTCACAAGGCATGATAGACCAGCTTGTCTGGTCAGAGTTCTGTTTCATTAGCTTGAACTAACTCTTACAGAAACAGTTACAGCTTCGAAAGAGTTAAGGCAAATTGGAATTCACAGAAAAGGATAAGACACTTCATACTACATTGAAAGAAAAAATGGGAGCTGCAGGTCAGAGCGCCATTCATTGAAATGAATAAAACTAAAAAAAAAAAGACCGTACCCTTTTATGTAATGATGTTTACTTTGAGAGCTTGTTTGGAGGTTCTAGCAGGGGAGCGCAGCTACTCGTATACCCTTGATCGAAGACCGGTCCTCTCCTCGGTGGGAAGGTCGTCGCTTCAAGAGGGACGCACATGGATCGGTGAGGGAGGAGGGGGACACCTGCCTAGCCAGCCAGATCAGCCGAATCAACCCTGGCGATCAATGGGGTGACAGATGTCGCAGCCAGATCGCCCTCACATCCGGAGCTTGGGATTTATCTGAGCTCTGTTAGTAACCAGCCCTGGGTAACTTACTAAGTTTCCTTTTCTCTAAAATTTGGTCAACACAATATTACAGAACTATTGCATGGAAAACAGGCAAATGTTTACATATTGCCT